GTTGTGTATTTGCATTTTTACTGATCTCTTCTTGATTAGACTTGCCATAGATTTGTTCATTTTGTTGACCTTATCAAAAAACAAGCTGTTGGATTTTTATAACAGCTGTTTCTTGAAGTTATTATTAATTTCTGTTCTTATCTTAATTACTGCCTTCAGTATCCTTTATAGTTCATGTTCTAAGTTCTTAGATTGGATGCTTAATTCATTTCTTTTTTAGTACTGATTGGATTTAAAAGTTATGATTCTTCTTTTCTGAGTACAATGTCTCAGAATACAATTTTGCATGCATTCCCCATAAAATGCTCTCATAATTTTTTATGTATTCTATAATAATTTTCTTTGTCACCCAATTATTTCAGTATTTTCTTATTTTTTGGCTTGTTTTTACTTTCCAAATGACTATAAAGAGTGAATAAACATGCAAAAAGTGCAACTGGCTTATTGGAAATCTATTTAAGTTTCTGAATGGTAGAAAGGAGACAGGATAAATTACAAAGGGAAACAAATGTGCAGGATAAGCTGAGCTGAGTTAGCTGTGCCTCTGAAAGAGCTCTGAGAGGTAATACTGAGGCAGTCATTAAGAGGATGAGTTGGAGAAGTTCATTGAGGGTAGCTTGGCCGTGGGCCCTTTTCCCTCCCACACTTGCACTACACAGCAGACAGCACAGACATGGGCCACTGGGTAACCAGTGAATGGAGGAGGGATATCTGGGCTCAGAGAAACAGGACAGTGTCCCAGGTACCGATTGACTAGAGGAGAAAAAGAGGCTACTACTCCCAGATGACAAGCTCCTAAATACCGCATTTGCCAGCATGCCCAAAGAAACAAGATGACCAAGAATCATACAGTTGAGAAAGAAAATCACAGGAGATAAAACTTAAAATGGAAAGGAAAAAAACAGTTACAATGGTAAACAGAAAACTTTAATGTTTGTGTAATTACCATCAATGAAGAGATTAGAAAGAATATGGTGCTTATAAAGCATAATATTGCTGTGAAAAAGTCAGCAGTCTTGGTAAATAAATTCAATACAAGTGCCAAATAAGCAGAATGGAAACTTATGAAATAAATTAGTAAGCAGGGTAATCTAATTAGAGATTTCTCCCAGAATGCAATGAAAAAGGCCAAACAGATAGAAGTATAAGGAAAACAATATAAGAGATTTAAAGAACAGTTCTCAGACTCCAAAATCCATTTGAAACATATCCAGAAATAAAGAACAGAGACAATATAGGAGAAGAAATAGAAAAGAATTAGAAATTTCCCTAAAGTGAAACACATATTTTGAGATTAAATAGACCAAAGGTCATACAAGGTCAAAAACAAAACACTTAAATTTCTTACCACTAGGGAGGGGAGGAGAGAGGGAAAGACAGGAGAGAAAAGAAGGGAGGAAAGGAAAAAAAAATTGAACAGAAAAAATTCAGAGAATAAAAAAAAACAAAAACAGAGAACAGAAAACAAGAAAGAAAATACAGCTAAAAAGCTAATTAAGCAGTGAGAATTTGTGCAAATACACTAGTCCTCACAATAACTGAGAATATATTAAATTAAAAGGAACCATGAAACTGGGTAAAAGGAAAAACAGCTACTTTTGTCACTAGAAATATAATTTAAACCAAATGACACAGAGAGGTTAAAATTAAATGATGGAAAAAGAAATTGCTGTATAAATTCAGACAAAAAAGCTAAGAGAAGATATTAGAATCAGACAAAATAAAAAGGCAAAAGAAAAAAAAAGAAATCAAGCTGAAAATCATTAAATGGGAAGACTAGTATATTTCATATTGGCAAAAATCTGTACTGAAAGACAGACTTCCCTTAAGTCTCATTGGTTAGAACAATTTCCCATGTCCATAGCTAAGTCAGTCACAGTTGAGGAGAATGGAATGCCCATGAGCAGTTAGACCCTTTGGGATTAGATCCCTGGGACTTGGATATGCCTACCTTCTCTGAAACATGGGCTATGCTAAGTAGGATGTATACATGAGGGGGAAAAAAAAAAATCAGGGTTTTAGGAGAAAGGTAGGTAATCAACAGTATTCAATAAGCCACCCTGAAGTTACCACAATGCACAATTTCCTTCTTTGCAGCATTAATTACTACAAAGTGATTGATTGCCATAAATTAAAAATGCAGTTGTTTATTTCTTTGTCTCCTTTTAATTGTCTGTCTCCTCCATTAAGAAGCAAACTTTGGGAAGATCCCTGACGTCCTATTCTTCATTGAACCTCTAGCATCTTGCAAAAGGCTCCAAATATAATAGGAGTTCAATACATGTTTGTTGATAGGATGGATGGATGGATACTGGGACAGATTACTCTGAGATAGATCCGCCAGGAAAAAAAAAAAAAAAGCTAGAAAAGGAAAACTTCAAAGTGATATTAAATACTGTTACAGAGTTACAGGGAGATCAGGATTGCAAAATGACCACTGAATTGAATGATCAGAAGGAATTTACCTTTGGAGAGGTTTCAGTACGAGCACTTCTAAATATAAATCAGAACATAAGGAACAAAGGGCAAAATTAATAATAAAGATGTGATTATAGTAAAATTACCTTTGTCTTTTTTTTTCCAGTAGAAACAGAAAAGATAGTATCTCTAAGGATAGCAGAATCAAGGAAGGGGTTATTTTAGAAAAGCAAGAGTGAGTGTATTTGTTTGCCCCCGCAAAAAAGTAGTCAAATAAGAAGAACATATTAAGTATATAGGAGAAAAGGGGAATTATAAATAAATTTCTGTAAGAAGAGAAAACTTAATTAAATGTAAAATTTATATAGGCTAACCTTAAGGAAGAACCTACTGTGTCCAGAGATCAGAGTAATGAAAGAATGTGAAAGAGATACACAAAGCAGAATAAATGTGCTATCACCTCAATTTAACCTAGATTATCTGCTTATGAATTACTTCATCGTGGGTATTCATTAAGTATTTGTTGAATGAATGAAATAAATAAACACATGAATAGATGTGATGTTATACGTTTGGGTTTGTTTGTTTTTTTCTGTATCTTCTTAGCATAAACCTGATGCTTGTTTTCTTAAGCTAAATCTTCAAAGTGATACAGAATGAGAGACTCTACCAATCAGGAAATGCCTTCAGGGACATGTAAACAACAGACTGAACAAAAAGGAAGAGAAATAAAAATAAGGTAACTACCCTTCTCTATTCTACTGTTACTGAAAACTCTAATGATGGGATTATGTATATGCCGAAATTATTCATTTTACTGAAAGCTACAGTAAGTAAAGGGAAATAATTTATGCAAAAAAAATATGCTCAATCAATAACCAGAAAATATGTATCAATATTTGTCTAACGCTAGAAGAAAAACAAGATTAAGAAATAAAAAGTTTAATTTTCACTTTTTAAAATAACTGCTCAACCTGAAAATTAAATCCCAGATCTGATTTTCTAATCTGTTGAGCGTTCTCTTTGTGAAATGTTCTACTTTTAATGGTTTTCACGTTGTAAATATTCCACCAAACTTTATAAAGTACTATTTAAAATTCACTACAAGTTATTTTTATATAAGTATATCTTATACCAACTTTACAACATTCTCCTCAGTATCTAAGTACCTCAGGACTTGATATTAAGTTAAAAGGTCATAAAAATAGACTAACATTTACATGTCACTTCACACTTCTTGAAAATACAACGTGAGTGTTTATTGCACTTAGCTTCTACATGCTAATTACTTTAGAATCTTACTATATTAATTATTAAATTGTGGATTTCAATATGAGGCCTTTGGCAAAACAAAAAGATGTTTTAAAAAAACCACAAAGGAATAAAAATGTTTCTTGGTTTCTTCATTGTTTACATAGTTGCTCAGTAACTAAATGTACAACTTAAATTATTTCTTCCAGTTATTTAATTATTATTTACTATGCACAAAGCAGTTGAGTGACACAAGTCCTCTATACGATATACTGATGGAAACAATGAGTAAGGGCTTGACCATTGCTGGAAGGAGGATAGCACTCAAAAGGGTCAAATTATAGCATCGCCAATTAGTACATACAGTCTATTTCATAAAGTGATTTTACACACAATTGCTATAATAAGTTATATTGTACAGCAAAGACATAAGGAAAAAATTTAAATCAAAAGGAAATCAAATGAGAGTTAGAATTCAAGTTAATTGTATAATAAAGAAATAAATTGATAGATATTCTAGAAGAAATGACAGGATTTATCAACCATCAATATGGCAAGAGAAGAAGTTGGAAAATGAGAATGATGGGGAAGATAATGGTGTCCAACTAGCTAAATAATTTATTTTGTTCTTCAAAAGATCTGGAATGAAGTGGCACCGTAGAGCTAAGCACTGGTCTTCATTCTCATCCCATGCTGAGGAGCTTCTGGCCCCATCTGAGCAATGTATAAAAGGCAGGTGTGACCATCAAGTCACAACATTGAATGTTTTCAGTTCTCACGCCAGAAATTTTATATTCTAATGAGAATTACCCTTTAAGCACTGTTCTTTGGAGATTCTGCATTCATTTCACTCAATTCTATTCTCAAAACATTTAGAATACCTCATATATTTGTAATACATGTATAGAGTATCCTTGTTTTATGGGTATTTTTAGGTGAATATTTAAGCTAGTTTCATCATTTTTTATGGCTATTTGTTATGCATTATAGTATTCTCTGAACACTATAGTTTCATATGTCTTTGGGTTGAAAAATGACAGCAACATTGATATATTCTGTAGATCAGAAGTTCATGAGTGTTCGGTTATCTCCTGAATTACTGGCCCACCTATAGCAGATACACTCCAGCCCCCTTAGGAAGCTAAGTACCATGAGAGTTTTGACCACACCCCATCATACTTTAAAACACACCCAAATCTCACTTTTTATTTTTAATGCTTTTTTTTTTCATAATTTTCATGTATGTAAATTTTTTTGTTCAGAAATACCTTCAAAATTATCTGGTACTACAAGCAGATAATTAGCAATGACTAAAAGGGTCTTGTGAATACCTTCTGATGTTGTTCCTCCTTCATCTTTTGCAATTTTTTGTTTTCTTCTTCCTTTAGAGAATCCTTATAAGCCCGGCTTCTGGCCTGTAAATGTATAGGAAAAAAAAATAATAATCACAGGGAAAAGCATTGCCACAATATACTAGTCTGCCTACCACAGGACTGGTTCTAATAACTCAACCTCTACACCAAGCATACAGTAAGCTCTCCATACACACTTGCTTATGGAGTGATTTATGCATATGTCTGAAGATGTCCCTGGGGATATATAAAAACAAGGCTAGTATATGCATAATCATCCTGCACATTTTAAAGGATGATCTAAATGTTTGTTTAATTAAGCTTAGAAAATACCCCTCAGAGATAATCAACATAGTTTATTCTTCTAGTGATAAGGATTTGAAAAACATATCTAACTTTCCTCTATTTCAAGTATATTCCAACTAACAGCAATTCTAACTAGACTCTAGTAAGCAGAGAGCATGGTGATGAAACTGACTTAGAATAAGCCCATCAAGGAGGAGGAAAATCTATAGTTTTTACCTCATTTACAACAGCGCCAATGCATTAAATCGCCAGGCATTTATTTCTATTACTTTATTTAACCCTTAAATTCTATGAAATAGATTTTATCCTCATTTTGTGAATAAGGAAATGGACTTGGGTATGTGAAATAATTTGACTGGACCACAAGGCCACAGTGGAGTTACAGTTGCAGCTTGTCAGACTCGGAAGCCCTGAATCTGCCATTCTCCTCCTTGCCTGGACTGTCCCTCCGTCAGCCTTTCCTACTCCTTTGCTGCTCAGCTAAAATGCTGTTGTATTCAACATATAGGGAACTCAACTAATGCCTTACACATGTAAATTCTGGAAAGTGGGCCCTGCCTAGGAAAAATATTGCTCTCAAATAAAGCTATATTCTTCTGTAAATTATATAGACTCCAAGTAGCTGATCAGTTAATCTCAGAGACAAGCAATAAAGACAGCAACTTTTGAAGCACTGACATACCTACTGCTCATTAATGGTAGCCTATTAAATAGCCTGTCAGCTGGTGATTGATACCATAGCATTCCAGAGATGCATTTCTTTCTAAGTCTTTGCATCCTTCATCGGTACCTGAAGCTCATTTTTATTTCTGAGAAGGAAAACAAAGGCTGTTCAGGAGCACAAGGGTCATTACTTCTGGCTGAATTAGAGCCTCAAGGGGCAGTGTTAGGAGAAGCAGCACACACAGTAGGATGCCCTCTAGTCCCACTGACCCAGCACAACAGGGTTTCACACACTGGCATAGTGACCATGCCTTCTGGAATTTATGAGATTTCAAGTATATTGTCTGTTCATTTGTCGTATACTTTCTCGGCTCACAGTGATTTGTAGCCCACCCTCTGTAAGGCAGAGAGGGCAGCCTGATAAGCTAATATGTAGGAAATGCCATTGTTCCCATAAAACTACCAGCAGCATCATGGCAGCACACTACGTATTTCAGGCCTTGTTTTTTGGACTAATAACCCATAAAGCTTATGAAGGCTGCCCCCCCCTTCCTTACTATAATTTTTCTCAAGCACTTCTTAATTTATTCCCCCATTTTCTGTCACTATAAAAACCTACATTCCATCAAATAATAAGCACTTGCCAGGAAGGGAGAGAGGCCTTCTACAACAGTACTACTACATCTGGAGTGGAACTCCAGATGTGTTCAGGAAGCCCTCACACATTCAAACCCTGCTTCATTAGACAAGAAAAAATATCCTAGGATTTTCTCTTATCTAAATCCTAAGCACAAGAGAACTGTGATAAGATACTGAAGGTGGAGAGTTGTTCTCTAATGAGTGGTTCTCTTCTTTTTACTTAGAGAAGGCTAGCCTTTATCACAGATATTCCATATAAGACCGGAAAGAGGAAAATGGACCAGGGACACACATCTTCTACTCAAGAGATTAAAAGGAGTAATAAAATATTTAGTTAAAGCAGATATGATGGTTGAGTGAGAAACCTAAATTCTATTTGTATAATTTCCTTTTAACATAACCACTTTATTGGTCTTTTATCAGAATAGGGGTCCTAGTTTTTCACTCAGAAAAAAAGAGACAGGGATTAGACACAAAGTGTCATTTAAAAGGCCACAGAAACTGGCAAGTCACATGGCTCCTCAACTATGAAGAGTTCAAAGTTACTTGCAATCCTAATTCTTGCTTACCCAGCTGTGATTCCCAGGCAGGACAGGAAGTTTCTGTTCAAAAATAATGGGGGGGGGGGGACTTGTGATCACAATTTTTCTTAGCTCTAAATCCTGCAACTTCTGTCATTGTATTCACATGATTTTTCTATCACTAAGTATTAATATAATATTAATACTAAATTTTTGTTATTCACCAAAATATACATTTTTAACTTACCCTGCCCCAAAAGCTATGCTTATAATACATATGTTCAATAAATAATATGTAAGCCACTATGTGTAATCACTTCATAAGACATGATATCAGACCTTAAGTGCCTCAGAGCCTGGTGTGGAAGTCAGGCAAGATAACTGATGATTACAGTACAGCATGATGGGTATTATGACAGAAGAAGCTAAAAGGACATTTAATTAAACTGGATCAGAACATCTTCTTGGGGCATCTGGGTGGTTCAGTAGCTTAAGTGTCTGCCTTCAGCTCAGGTCATGATTCCAGGGTTCTGGGATGGAGCTCCAAATAAGGCTTCCTGCTCAGCAGGGAGCCTGCTTCACTCCCTGCCTCCTGCTCCCCCTGCTGGTGCTTTTTCTCTGTCAAATAAATCAATAAATAAAATCTTAAAAGAAAAGAAAAGAAAGAAAGAAAGAAAGAACAAACACCTTCTCAAAATGGGTTGACACTAAGTTGTGTTTTAAAGAGTGAGTAGGGGAGCACCTGGGTGGCTCAGTCAGTTAAGCGTCTGCCTTTGGCTCAGGTCATGACCCCAGGGTCCTGGGATTGAGCCCCACCTCAGGCTCCCTTCTCAGCATGGGAGTCTGCTTCTCCCTCTCCCTGCTTGTGTTCTCTTTCTCTCTCTCAAATAAATAAATAAAATCTTAAAAAAAAAAAAAAAGCAAGTAGGAATCAGACTAAGCAGGGGGAAGTTTACCATGTGAACAAATGAAAAATAGCATGGTATTAGTTTGTTAGGGCTGCCATAACAAGTACACAGTCTGGGTGGCTTAAAAACACAGAAATTTATTGTCTCACAGTTCTAGAGACTGGAAGTTCAAAAACTAAGGTATCTTTAATGTTGGTTCCTTCTGAAGTCTGGGAGGGAAGGATCTAGGCCTCCCTCCTTGGCTTGTAGATAGCCATCTTCTCCCTGTCTTGTCACATCATCTTCCTGGAATACACATTTGTCTCTGTGTCCAGATTTCCCCTTTTATAAGGACACCTCTCCTGTTAGATTACAGCCCACCCTAATGACCTCATTTTATTTTGATTATTTCTATAAAGACTCAATCTCAAATACAGTCACATTGTGAGGTACAGAGGGTCAGGGCTTTAACAAATGAATTCTGGGGTGGGCAAGGAGACCACAGTTCAACCTGTGACAAGCATTGGGTTCCCATTTCAAGATGGTGGAATAAAAATGTTTCTGCACCATCCTTCTCTCAAAAATTACCCCAAACAGAGGAAAAGATGAGTCAAACTCTACATTCAGAAACCAAGATACATCTGTATTCCCAGACAAAAATCTAGGAAGATGAAGAAACAATAAGCAAAAAGAGGAAAAGAGCGAAACAAAGGACATGCTGGCTGGGATGGAGGATACCCACAAGAAGCTGCTTTTCTCCACAGAGCAACACGAGGGCCCAAGAAGGATGCAACAGCTGGTGAGGATGACGGATGAAAGATAGGAAAGTACCTATGTCTGCTCCCACCCTGGAAATTCAGCCAGTGATTCTCCCAATTCTGACAGTAAATCAGAAGGGTATTCTCTGGATAAACTAAACCAGGCACACCTAGCATGGAAGCTCATGGTGGTCAAACCCCAGGTGCAGAGTGAAAGGACTGTATAAAGTCCGGCATACTGAGTAGTGAGCTTCCAGACCCCCTTCTTCGAAGTTTTCCTCTGCTCCCTGCTCTGGGTCCTCTGAGAGCCAGAAGGTGATATTTTGTCCATGAATCAAGAACAGGCTGCTATTTTTAAAAAGCAATAAAGAAGAGAGAAGTTCCTGGAAAATAAAAATATCTTCCCTTTCCCCACAAAAGGCGGCCAGTAAACTATTTAGAAGATAATTAAGAAAATGTGTGAGATAACAGAAAAAATAAATGTGTACACACACACACACACACACACATGCACGCATACATCTCTGCCCCCGTTCCTGGCACAGATATCAACAAAGGTTTTAACCTTTGTAACTTCCTAAGTGGTAAGAGCATTAGGAGCATCTCTTAGGTTCATATTTGTCTTTGACCCCAACCCTTACAGAGGGCTCCTAAACCCATATAAATTCCTAAGTGTTAAGAGCATTACAGCATCTTTTGTTCCAGTGAGGCTTGCTGGATGATTCCTGGATGGGAAATGGTCACTAGAAAGACCAAGCCATGATTAGACACTTGGAATTTCCAGACCTGCCCCCTCCAAACCTCCAGAGAGGGGAGAGGGGGTGAATATGGAGTTAATTATTGATCATGCCTATGTGACAAAGCCGTCACAAAATCCCAAAAATATGAGGGTTCTGGGAATTTCCAGGTAGATGAACACATCCACACTGGGAGGGTGACCATATCCCAACCCACAGGGACAAAAGCACCTGCAACTCAGAACACTCCCAGACCTCACTCTACACATCTCTTCATCTGGCTGTTCATCTGTATCCTTTATCATATCCTTTAATAAACTGGTAAATGTATGTAAGTGTTTCCCTTAGTTCTGTGAGCCATTCTACAAAATTAAGAGAACCCAGGAAGGGGGCCATGGGAACCCCCAATTTGTAGCCATGCTGGACAGAAGTTACGGGTAACCTGGGACCTACTACTTGCAGTTTGGCATCTGAAGGAGAGGGCAGTGTTGTGGGACTGAGCCCTTAACCTGTGGGAACCTCCAGGTAGTGTCCGAACTGAGTTAAACTATAGGACCCCCGACTGTTGTCACAGAATTGGTTGGTGTGAGGCAAGCCCCCACACATCTGTTGTCAGGTGTGTGTGTGTAGCAGTCATATGACAGGAAAGGAGACACTCAGGAGGGAAAGGGCTGGGGATTTGTCTAACCCAATATGCCAAGGAGGAGAAAAAAAAAGTCAAAGATAAAGGAAAAAAATTTTTTTTTTCCACAAAGAAGAAAATAAATCCAAGAGGCCTAGGATTTCAATAATAAGAATTCCTTAAAGAAAATGAAGGGAAATGAATCAAAGAAATAACACAAGAAAATCACCTAGAACTAGAAATGAGTTTCCAGAAAAATGAATATAAATGACCCTCATACTAGGACACATCATTACAAAATTACAGAATACCAGGGGGGAAAAAAAGGAGATATTAAAATATTTCCAGGAGAAGCAGGGTAGAGCCCTTATATATAAGGATTGAAATTCAAATGTCCTTGGATTTCTCAGGAACCAATACTCAAACGTAGAATAGCAATGCCTTCAGAATTCTGAAGGAAAATTATTTCTAATTTGGAATACTTACCAGAAAATTACAAGCTAAGTGTGAGGGCTGAATAAAGATAGTTTCAGAAATGCAATGACCTGAGCATGCTTCTTCTCTTGGGAGGCCACTAAATAATATGCTCCATCAAAACAAAGAAATAAAACAGGAAAATAGAAGATAGGAGACCCAGAAATCAGGGGACCCAACATAGGAAAGCAAATAAGAGCAATTCCCCGGATGACCTTAAAACAGCAAGCCTTATCCTAGGCTGCATGTTAGAATTACCTGGAGAGCTTTAAATGCCCTGAAGCCCAGGCCATAATACAAAAGGATCTCTGAGGTTATGACCCAGGCATCAGTGAATTTTAAAGCCCCCCAAGTGATTCCCATGTATAGATGAGGTTGAGGACCATTCTGTGAAAGGAAAGTCCCAGAACAGCAGCTGTGTAGGAGGCCAAATGAACAACCGGTCCAGGTTAAGGCAGAAGAGTGCTGCAAAAGGGCTGGTTCCAGGAGGGAAAGAAACCCGAAATTGACAGGTTATCTCACAGGAACAAAATGGAAAATTGTGTGGAAATTTGCATCAGAGACACTTGTTGGAACAGTCAAAAAAATCTGAAGGAGGGCAGTCAAATGTTCAGAGGAAACTAAGCAAATGTTAAAAACACAATTTTTGAGAAGTCGTAAAAGAAAGAAAATGCAAAGTATAATAACTGGTTTAGCAGTGAGAAAATAATTATGTAGCCATAGCAAGAGAAAGCATGAAATACTGAATTTTAGGAGAATGGAGGGGAAGGAATAAATTAACAAAATCTAAACTTAATTAGTCAAGCAATAGCAATCTATACATTACGAGATACCTAAATCCAAATAACAAACAGCTAGGAGAGTGTGGTAGAATGAATAATAGCGCCCCAAAGATGTCCACATCCCAATGCCTAGAAGCTGTGAATGTCACCTTATAGCAAAAGGGACTTTGCAGAAATGGAGGATTCTGAGATAGAAGAGGATCCTGGATGATCCGGGTGAGCCCAGTGTAATCACAAGGGTCCTTACAGGAGGAAGACAAGAAAGTCAAAGGGAACTGACATAAGATGAAAGCAGAGAGTAGATGCAGCCACATGCTGAGCAGCCAGAGTGTCAGTAGCCAAAGGGAAGCTAGAAGAAGCAAGGAACGGATTCCTTGAGCCTGCCTCGAGCCTCCAGGAAAAGCTATTTTAGCCCCTTCATACTCATTGCTGACTTCTGATGTCCAGATCTGTAATGGAATAAATCTGTGCTGCCTTAAGCCACTAAGTTTGCAGTCATTTATTACAGGAGCAATGGGAAAAAAAATTTTTTGAGCCACAACTGACATTACATTATATTAGTTTCAGGTGTGTAACATAATGATTCAATGTTTGTGTATACTGCAAAATGATCACAATAAGTCTAGTTAATATCTGTCACCATACATAGTTACAAAGTGTTTTCCTTGTGACACAAATTTTAAGATCTACTCTCTTAGCGACTTTCAAATACACACTCCAGTGTTGTTAACTAGAATGACATACATGGAGTTTAAAATATTGGGAGTGGGCATGAGATGGAAAAGGTGGAAGGGACACATGTCGTTCTTTAACTGTTGACTTTTTAAAAACATGTGGCACATGGATAAAGGTTTAACCAAACCGCACTAGGACTTCCAAGGAGCGGAAGTGAGAGGAAATGGCTGGAAAGGCATGAGCTATGGAGCAGTGCCCCCAAACATTAATGTGTACACAAGCCACCACAGACTGTTAAAATGCAGCTTCCTATTCAGGTCTGGAGTGGGGCCTGAGATTTGTCAAGGCCTCCATAGGCTCCCAGGTAATGCCCATGCTCCTGGTCCACACCCCACACTTGGAGTAGCAGAGACCTAGATTCTGTGCAGAGAAAGGTATCATGCAGGGAGGGAGGGGAGCAGAGGGCAGAAAAGGCTTTGTGTTTAAGCTAAAGAATTTTGACTTTATCTTTAAAGATACAGGGAGCCACTGGGTAGTGGAACAACAAAATGAGACTTTTTACATTATTATTCTCTGTGGAGGAGGAGGCATGAGACAACAAAGTGGACTGGAAACCATTTCTGGTATAACTGGAAACATTCAATGTTAATGTTTAGGGAAGGCATGATGATGCTGGGACTTCTGACTACACAAACACACACACACACACACACACAGAGTACAGAGAACTGTATCAATCCATGTGTAAGTAAACACTGCATCTTTTGTCTGAAGTTCTTTTGTGTATCAAAGGAATTTTCTTGTGTGTTGATGGAATTATATAGTATTTATTAGATTCCCACCTGCCCATGGAAGATCCACATTTAAGGAAGTGTGATAAGAAAAATTTCCTCAGGAAAGCTGCATTATGTTAAAAAAAAATTTTTTTTAACTTGAAACCTTGCCACTCATCACACCCCACATAAATGGGTACCACACAGTGCTCACATTCCATACACTGACCATAGATGAGGTAAACTGCTGGTGTCTTCTCCCCATGTCACAAAAGTGCCCTGTGTACGTGCGGCATTCCTAAGGTGTTAGAAAAGGTTCTGCAGAGCGTTCTCAGAGGCATTCTATGCATATGGATTAGACAGAATGAGAAGAGTACAATATGGGAAAAAAAAATCACTTAAAAATAAATTGAACACCAACAAATTATTAATAGTTTGGTGTTGAAAGGGGAGCAGTTATTGAATGCAGCTCATAAAGAACCATCCCGGGTCCAGTGCTGCCCTATATTGTCTATTAATAGCTCTGAGGATCGTGTGACTAAGGCACTAATCAATCCACAGAAAACACAGCTCTGGGAGACATGAGTCATGTTTTGGACAACAATATTAAAATTCAGGATGATCTTGTTAAATTGAAGAAACAAGCCAAAAAGCAATTGAGCAGGCACACACAGTTTTGCCAGGTGTTTCAAACCATAGGATTCAGGAAGCCCTCAAACAAAATCAAGACCATCCTGGCAGCCAAGCACCTAGTTGATAAAGCTATCCAGTTCCTGACTTCCCTTCCCTCCCTCACAGCCACAGGGTATCTGGATAGACATCAAGGACTATCCCTACACAGGATTTAACTCTACTACCTACAGCTACTCGAGTCTCTCCTCTAGGGCCCTGCAGTGAGGGAAGGAATGACAGGATCCGTGGCAAGTCTAGATTTGGAACACCATATTGGAAGTGGACCAAAAAAATAAGGAACATTTAAACTTTTGTAAGAGCATAATGACTTTTCCCAACAAGTGTCACAATGTGTTCTTGACATTTTAAAACATGATCACTAAAGGAGGATGGAGAAGATGAAGATCAGGTTTCTCTAACACCTTATTTATGTATCCAAACCCTGGAAAAGTGAACACTCTAGAAAACTTAAATCCATCTTTTCTTTCAACTATAACCCTTTCCCAGAGGCATCCTTAATTACATTTACTTTCTTTTCCCCAGTTAGCTAGTCAATAACCAACACTGACCTTGAACCTTCCCTGAAAATTTTTAGTACCTTCAGCACTCAAAGAATGAGATCCAAGTTTTCCAAAGCATCATACAAACGTTTCACTGGGAGCACCACAAGATTCCCATGTGAGGCATTTCTGTATGGTCTTGATGTCTGGAGGATGCTACTAGCATTTTGTGCACAGGGGTAAGGGATGCCACACATCCTGCAGTACCCAAGACACCCTACAGAATGAACTACCCCCACCCAAACTGCCACCTGACTCCTCTCATTATTCCTGCATCCTTCTTCAGCCTTCTCTAGAAGAGTGAGCTACACAACTCTTGTTCCCTAACACAAGCTGTGCATTTTCTTGCCATTATACCTTAATTCTTGCTTTTATGTTCTACTTCCTGACACCCGGAATGACTCTTCATGTTACTGACTCATCCTTTAAGCTCTAACTTTCTAACTGTTATATGCTCTACACTCACCTGTCCACTTTATAACTATGGTTTTCTCCTTCAATTAACTAAAGTCCTTCCAGGCAGAAACTGTATGCACTTGGTAGACCCTATGTAAACATAAAAATCTGAAGGACAGAAAAATAGATGGATGACTAGGTGAGCTCAAAGGCTTTTCAGAGGCTGAAAGGTGCCCATAATGTAGATAACAAGTACGGCATTGTTTTATAGTTTGAAGGAAGCAACAGTTGAAGTCAAAGTTTTAGATCAGGTCATCTGCCTTTAGTCCCAACAATCTATGATATAAGGATACTCTATGCCCTTAGTCTTCATTCACTAAATGCCTCTTTACAAAGTACCAGATGGCAACCCTGCATGGCATCCCACTTACCCAAGTTGAAGACTGTGGGTCATGAAGAGCAATTTGATGGGTACTTCTGTCTGGCAACTCTGCAGCCTGTCTGCTCAGGAACTCAGCAGTTTTGCTAGAAGGAACACAAATAGGTGTTAGTGCTTTCATGAAAATAGAAGTATTATTTACTGTGCCTTTGGATACTAGCGTAGACTTTTATTGGGTGATGACTGAAAATCTCCTGAGTAGAACAAAAGGTGAGTTTGAGTACAAGGTAGTACAGAAAACCAAAACAAAATGCTATTGCAAGACCACATTATTGAACAACATTAGTCTGAAAAAATATAAAATTAGGTTTGTGGAATATGAACCCATGATTTCATATTTTCTATTTCAAGTACCCTGACATGGAGATAAATGCTCTCTCAGATTCCACAGCGTGGGGTTCTAATTTCCCTTCTGAGTATTAAAGCTTGACCCTCAGACTTCACAATAGAGCTGTGGTACAATGGGTCCCCTGTGACTCTCATTCCACACTGGTTTTACATGGCCCTTGATTCACTGTCTCCTCTCATTTCCCTCATGGCTTTGACTGCTCTCAGGACACATAGTCCCTCCAATTCAGTAACTCTTAACCACATATGGATCATGGACCACCTCCCTTTGGGATTCTGAAAGCAACAATGAACACTCTCTCTTCATACACACACATACACACGTGTGCGTGTGCGTGCATGCACACACACACACACACACCCCTCACATTGATTTGTACCTCCCGTGGAACTTAAGAAGTGCTGCTGGTCTGGCCTGCATTTATGATATCTCTTTTTAGCTCAGAAAGATTGGCCTAGAAATAATATCATCAGTTTTAATAAGAAGTTCTTTGATTTTCCCCGAAAAATCCCAAACCATTGGAGGCACCTGGGTGGCTCAGTTAAGCATCTGACTCTTGCTTTTGGCTCAGGTCATGATCTCAAGGTCATGAGATCGAGCCCCAGGTCAGGCTCTACACTCAGAGGGGAGTCTGCTTGAGATTCTCTCTCCCTCTCCTGCTCTTTTTTTCTCTCTCTCAAAAAATAAATAAATCTTTCAAAAAAGAAAAAACATATCACCCCAATTTCTCTACTCCCCTATGTCAAGCAAAGCACACTAGAATTATTTCCTAGCCCTTACTTCAGTGACTTCCCTATGCTGCCTACCATTGATCTCTATTCCTTTATCCTTTCCTCTTGTAATTTGTGGGATTTTTGCCACCATATTTCACATTCACATCCAGATACCTCATAGAGGCCCAATTTATATTGCACCAGCCCCTTGCAGCCTGCTCTCTGCCTTCCTTTCTCTCAGTTATCCCTCTTCTTCCCCCTAATATTTTAGTCCTACTGCTAAGATCCAGTTCATCAAGCCCTTAAAATGTGGTCATCAAAGGAAACACAACTGGTCTGGTAAAAATAAATGGCATCCAGTGGAGGGAAAAATCAAAACAAGGAATTCAAAAGTAAACAGAAATGCCCACCTCACTTCAAATAATTACTTAGATAGAACATGGCATTTGAACAAGGTCAGAAGCTTAAGCTAGGAAAGGAAAAGCATAAAGTTAAGTGACGTACATAACCCTGAGGAACATAAGGCTTCGGCAGTTGAGACAAACAGCCTCTCCATTTGTCTAGGATTGCTTATCTTGCCCAGAATAGACAAGGAGACTAATGAAGTCGCAGAATCTAGAAGCTGCCCCACCGTCTGGGGCTTTATGAAGTCATCAGTCAAAAGTGTTAAGAGAGTTGCCAGAAGTTTGGATGAGATTTCTGAATATCCTTAGCTGAATTCAGACATAGGAAAAGCAGTAAAAAAGAAACACCGTGATAAACGGTTGCTAAATGAATGGCATCTTCCTCACCAGTTACAGCTTTATACTCATCTAGGCTGTCCTTCCTATAGGTAAGATTTACTGAAACACCCAATCATAGAATCGTCCCCACGTGCTGACAACACATAACCCAGAGCAATCCCCTGCTTCTTTTTTTTTTAAGATTTGATTTATTTATTTGACAAAGAGAGACACAGTGAAGAAGGAACACAAGCAGGAGGAGTGGGAGAGGGAGAAGCATGCTTCCCGCTGAGCATGGAGCCCAATGTGGGGCTCGATCCCCAGACCGAGGCAAATCTTAATGACTGAGCCAAAGGCAGATCTTAATGACTAAGCCATCCAGGTGCCTCTATCCCATGCTTCTTTAGACCTTTCCCAAAATTACCCAACCAAAACCTAAATCCTAATCAGTTATTCCTAGCAGCCTTACTGAGATATCTCACCATTTCTTTTGGTGTGTGTTTTCTTTATCTGCAACAAGTAATAAGCCCAGCATGTTCAACTACAGGTGTATCCCTGGTGGTCTTTGGCTGAAGGGCACTGAAAAATGTTACATACCAGAACAGCTGTTAATGCTACCAGAATGATGGAGGGATGGGGGGAACAGTGAAAGGGTTCATCAATCTCTATGCCATTTAAATTTCTTTTTTAAAACGAACCACATGGGGCACCTGGGTGGCTCAGTGGGTTAAGCCTCTGCCTTTGGCTCGGGTCATGGTCTCGGGGTCCTGGGATTGAGCCCCTCATCAGCTCTCTGCTCAGCAGGAAGCCTGCTTCCCTGCCCCCCCACCTGCCTGCCTGCCTGTCTGTGATCTCTGTCTGCCAAATATATAAATAAAATCTTTTTAAAAAAATGAACCACATGTAAGCAAAATCTTAGGTATGACTTTAGTGGTTAGTACCGGGGTCCTGGGATTGAGCCCCTCATCAGCTCTCTGCTCAGCAGGAAGCCTGCTTCCCCGCCCCCCCACCTGCCTGCCTGCCTGTCTGTGATCTCTGTCTGTCAAATATATAAATAAAATCTTTTTAAAAAAATGAACCACATGTAAGCAAAATCTTAGGTATGACTTTAGTGGTTAGTACCTTATTCTCTGTGATTTTGAAATGTTTCTCAAAAAGAGAAAAAGCATACATACCATTGTGGTGCTTATTGGGGAGAAGCTTTACACGTGCCATTCTAGGTTCCTCAGAACAATAATTTCCAAAATGCCAATAGGAAGACCTGTGTGAGACTAGCATCATGAGAATCACCTGTGGTGCTTCTTGGAATTTACTGGATGCAAGACTTGGACTTTCTAATTCACCATGCCTGGAGCAGGATCTGAGTGTGTTTCTCAAAAGCACCCCTGGTGATCTTGAGAACTACTATAGCCATACAGATAGATATTTAATATGCATAATTCTGTTAGGTCCATGTGACTCTGACTTAAAATTAAATCATGCTATAACACGCATTTGAAAACAAAACCTCAGGGGCGCCCGGGTGGCTTAGTGTGTTGGGCCACTGCCTTCGGCTCAGGTCATGATCTCCAGGACCTGGGATCGAGCCCCGCATCGGGCTCTCTGCTCGGCGGGGAGCCTGCTTCCTCCTCTCTCTCTGCCTGCCTCTCTGCCTCCTTGTGGTCTCTGTCTGTCAAATAAATAAAAATCTTTAAAAAAAAAAAAGAAAGAAAACAAAACCTCAGTGTGTCTTAGAAGCCATTCTATAGGAGTACTATCTAATAATACATTCTTCCTATCTTTCACAATAGCTTCACAAACCTGAACTTCCCCACCATGAGGTTTAGGTGAGCAAGTAATCATTGTTACATTCACATTGCCTGCATTTGTGCAGGCAACAGATATTTCTTTAGTCTCTGCTTTGTGCTTAGTAATATGGGTTATCAGATAAACTAAACAGATACTGTTTTGCCTGAGTCAGTTTCATGTAAGTGGGTGTGAACAAAAAGCATTCATATAAGCACTCAGAGCTAAATCAGTGAGGAAAAATTTGAGGATAACAGGATATTAGAATAGTCCTAAAGTATCTCCCCCAGTTACAAAGGGAAAAAATAACTTTACAGTGGAGATTACCACAACCAAGTAATGAGAGTTAATATCACCAATAATGAGGACATCAACAGCTCATACCCTCTGGTATGATGCTCTGAGGACACGGCATCACTTCTTAGTTTTCTGAAAATTAAAACCTCAATCTGATCATAAAAAAAATTAGATAAGCCCAAATTTGAGGTACATTCTAAAAAGTATTTAACCAATACTGACTGAAAGTGTCAAGGTCTTGAAACGTAAGGCAAAAATGAGGCACTGTCACAGATTGGAGGAAACTAAATAGTCATGACCGATAATTATATTATGTGATCCTGAATCAGATCCTAAAATAGAAAAAGAACACTGGAGAGAAATTGGTGAAATTCTGATAAAGCCTGGAGTTTGTAGTGCTATATCAATGTTAATTTCCTAGTTTGATCATTGTACTATGGTTTTATAAGATATTAACATTAGGGGAAGCTAGAAGAAGATCTTATTCAAAACGCCATATTATTTTTGTAACTTTCTCTACACTGAAAATTATTTCTTTTTAAAGATTTCATTTATTTATTTGACAAAGATCACAAATAGGCAGAGAGGCAGGCAGAGAGAGAGAGGAGGAGGCAGGCTCCCTGCTGTGCAGAGAGCCCGACACGGGGCTCGATCCCAGGACCCTTTCCTTTACAAATGCCTTTAATTCTCTCCCTCCTCTTTCTCAAATAAAGTCAACCATCTGCTTTCTCTGCATGTGTACCAGAGCAAGTGAATCAAACTTGAGGAAAAATAACATATCAGGTGTTTGGGGATGGTAGGCATGGAGGAGGATGGAAGAGCGGTGGGACAGATTGGCTTCACTTGAAATTCACAAACACTGACGTCACCCTAAACTGAGCCCACACCAGCTCCTGCCTGGACTCCAGCAGTAATGTTGTCTCTAGCTTCTCCATCTCTATTCTTGCCTCCTCACATCTATTCTGGACACAGCAAATGATAATCACCTCTTAAAAAGAATAAAAAAGCTTCTGAAGGTTTGACCCCAATAGCTTAAATAAAACCCAGACTGTATGCCATGATGTGCATGATCTGTCTGGCTCCTGCCATCTTGGCAACTTCAGGATCTGTTGTTCCCCATTTCAACCCCAATATACCTGCTTCCTTTCAGGTTATGGTATACACTGTGTACTTTTCCCTCAGCCTTGGGCCTTCTTCCCTGGCTTTCAGCAGAGCTCATT